TCTCACAAATAGCTGGATCAATGGTTAACCACACGTGCCTCTTATCCGCACTTTCACCAAAAAGAGCAACAACAGTAGTGTATCTTGGATCAAATATTCCCCATCCTAACTTCTCCAATTTTTCCATACACGCATCCAAATTTGAAGAAGAATGCTTTTCCACAAATATTTTAGCAACTATGGCAATATCTTCACCGATTTCAAGCAATCTTGAGTTGGATGCATCTTTACCCTTATCTTTACTTTTATTTTGACTTTTTGCCGTATCTGTAGTCTTTTGTTTTTTTGATTGAGCGGATGACTCGTCACTGAGACCTACAGTTTCTTGTTGAGTGCAATCGATGTCATCAAAGTCATGCAAACTATAGTGTCTTGAGTCTTGAGTAGGACGGGGAAGGGTAGAAGTTGGTCCCTAACTATGCATGCCTGTCGCAGTCGCACCTTCAAACAACTGTGTGCAAAGGTCGGGATACGGTAATGGTGTGCGTCTCAAAGAATCCACATGTTTGTTTGACTGTTTGGAAAAAAAATATTTTATTATTTAAAAACATGAAAATCAATTTTTTATAAATTAACAAAATACCTTCGCTTCTAGTTCCCATTCTTCTTTGGAAAGATTAAAGGTGTTGGTTGTTGAATTGTACACATTACCGGTTTTGTTTTTTAACTTCATAAAAGCACCAAACTTTGACTTTAGGTAGTCATAACGGTTCTTCATTTGTTTTTGGTCGGCAATAAAGTTATGTTCAATTTTTAGTGTTTCGGCTACATTTCTCCAAGAAAGTGCTTTCAAACTACTCCCTTCCCGTCCATTGATCGTAACTTCACGTAAACAAGCTTCTAGAAATGTTTTCTCTACACCTTCTACCTTCCAACTAATCCTATCCTTCTTTTAACCATTTCTTTGATCAATTCAACAAAAAAAAATGCATGTTTTAGCAACAAGTTATGCATTACAAATACACATAACATCAACATATAATGCATTACAAATGCACATAACATCAACATATAATCCTATACATAGAACATATCAACATTTCATTATGTCCATTGAAAACATTAGGATTCGTTCATTTAACATCAAACTCAACGTATAACTCAACATATAACATCAACATTGAACAAATAACATCAAACATAAAAACATTGAACACAAACAATTGAATATAAAAAATCAAACATAACAGGAAAGACTACAAACATAACAGGGAAATCAAACATAATAATAGAACATGTCAACATTCATTATGTCCATTGAAAACATTCAAATTCATTCTTTTAACATCAAACTCAACATATAACATCAACATATAGTAGGAAATCAATTTTTTTAACAATAATTTTCCTTTTTTTAACAAATCAGCATATAACATCAACATATAACAAGAAATCAATTTTTTTTTTTTCATTTTTTGAAGAAATCAGGAACAAATACATAAGCTGATTTGTCTATTTTTTATTTTCAGGTTTAGGAGCAGCAACAAATCAGTTTTCTGAAGAAAGAAGATAGAAGAATAGCAAAAAAAAACGATTTTCAGAAGCTATAACATACCTGATTGCGTTTTTTAAACAAATCAAGAACTGATTTCTATTTTTTAACAATAATAATGAACTAATTTCGTTTTTTTAACAAATCAGAAACATATAAACAAAAAATGTTGATTTTGATTTCCAGGTTCGGGAGGGAATACGATTTTCAGAAGAAGGAAGAAAGGAGAAAAGCAAATACGCGAGAGGAAGAACAGCATACCTGAATCATCGGCGGGAGGCGGGTGGACTTTCGGTGGTGGCGGCGGCGACGTTCCAGGGAGAGGCGTCGACGGGGAAGATTGAAGGCGACGTCGGATCTTGCTGGTGAAGAGAACAGCGGGAATAGCATATGGGAAGGAAAATAAACGGAAGAAAACTCGCGAATGGGTATTAGGGAAAAATAAGGGACACGACTTCTTTTTTTAATTTTCAGACACTGTTCAAGATCTGAAAAAATAAGAGGCAAATATAGTTTTAAGAGGTAAAAATTAAGATGCAGACAAACGATCTGAATCTGATTTTTTAAGACATTACCTCTTAATTTTGCAATTAAGAGGTAAACAAACGAACCCTAACTTTTTATTTAACAACTAGTTTTTCAGCTATCAACTGGTTTTTCAGCTAAAAACTAGCACGCCAAACATAACCTATAAATACGGATGTACGTATGAAATCTAATGAATTTGAATGTTAGGTGGGGAATCATAAATAGTTAGGTGAGACTGTCAACTTATTATACAATTGAAGCATAAATTCATCTAGTAAGTAAGTAAAACAATCCAACAAACATGATTTAACTAAACGACTCATCAACACAAACGTCTAAATGGTAACCCAGAATCCGGACTATTCTCGTGGAAAACAATGGTCCAAAGAACATGATTATTTGTAAAAAAAAAATTAAAATGAGATTAGTTTAATCAATATCCATAAAACTTGGAAAGCCCTTTCATTGCATTTACTTCGAGCCCAGATTCCAAATTGGGCGAGAACCACCTAGGCCTTAAATGCATTCTTTCTTCGCAACCCTGAGCAAGGTGTTGGTTTTATACGAATAGAGTCGTGGGCTGATCTTCACTCACAATACGGGAAATATTCTTTTCTTTATAAAAGTGGAGAAGGCAGGTTCTTTTTGGCAAAAATGTGCTACTTCTTCCATGATTGTTTTGATGCTAGTTTTCTACATCAGTCAGTGAAGACTTGTTAGCATGGTTATGCTAAAACATTGTCAAGAATCCTGATGGTGTGATTTAAAAATGTTACAAATATTTGCACAAATGTTTAGCCCATGATAAAATTCTTGTTGATTCCTAGTTACAAAATGCATTTACAGTCCTTTATTGAAACCTTATTTAGCAAAAAGGGAGGGATATTTCTAAGATGTAAGTGTGTTCGGGATGTGTGGACTTTAAAACAATTGTTTCAATTCAAATTATGTAAATTATGTGTTACAATAATGGTTGAATATATTTGATGTTTCTTATTCACTTTGAAGTTCTTAATTAACCAACCATGAAGTCTCTCCAACTATATATGTTGTGGTTATGACGTTATTTCAATACATATTTTAGATAGCCTTTAGATGGTGTTTTTACTTTACTTTAAGTATTGTACCATATAATGTGTATATATGTTACATGATAATCCCCTATCCTAATAAAAGAGTACATTATGTCCACGTGTCAATCTCTCAGGTTCCCTATACAGTTTTTTCCCGCCTAATTTCCTCATACACATTTACAAAACTGCCCTCCGGTTGATTTTCTTATTCACTGAAGGTCAATAATGAATTCCGAAAAATCTGCAATTATGCAGAAAGAATGAAATCCGAAAAATCTGCAGAATTTTCAAAATATACGTAAAGATAATTATGCAGAAATGTTAATTTGAAATTTAAAAGTCGTTCATATCCAATCCAGCCAATAAATTCCAAAAAATCCTCACCCAATAAAATCATATACCGAAATATATAGCAGAATTCATTGTTTACGCTACTATTTTCTTCGCCATTCTGCTTCAGAGAACTCTTTAGAAACGGTGTTCAATCCTTCCTCTCTGTACGACTTATAATTTCCTTCGCTTTCTCATCATTTGTTGCATATTCATCCTCGAGGACAACAACCACTACACAAGGTTAGCAAACTAAATTAATGCATTTGTAAAAATTCCCATAGCAGCATATATTCTTCATAGTTTTGATGTTTATGTAATAAATTCTCCCACTTTAAAAACTTTACAGGTTTACTGTTTACATTATTTACATTTGACTATTATCTATAAATTACAAAACTATTTTCAGTAAAAATGAATTCTACCCTCCAGAACATTTTCATATAAAACCATTTTGATTGTGTAGACAGGGACAGTCTGAACGTTTTCAGAGTAAACATAGTATAAGTCACAAAGCACAAATACTTCTTTGTATTTTAATATATTTTATGTAAATTAAAAAAAAATTTCCTGTGGTTTTATATTTTTAGTTTTAAAGCAAAACTATTATCTATAAATTACAAAATTATTTTCAGTAAAAATGAATTCTGCCCTCCAGAACATTTTCATATAAGGTCAAAGTCAATAATTAAAACTGAAAAAATCTGCAACAATTAAAACTATACTTCATTAATGGATTATAAAAAAAAACATTTTACTACTAATTCATCATATCTAACTTGCCCTTACTATTTGTCATCTTATCTAATTGTAACTTGCAGGGGCAATTTAGGTATAAAATGTTGTGTTTCGATTGAAATATAAAAGAGTAATCACACAATCAACAAATTCTTATACTATGTTTTTCTGTTATCTTATTTCCTATTTTTCTACTAAATAGTAACCAGTTTAGTATGTCTTTGTATATATTCAAGAATTGCATATATTAATTTACAAATATGCTATTTGCTCTTTTATTAGGATAGGGGATTGCATATATTAATTTACAAATACGGTATTTGGTAACATTTCTATATGGTTTCAATCGTTTTGCAGAAAATGAATATAGGGAAGAAAGTTTACCTAAAAAACATTGATCAAATTGATGATAATTCACACATCAAAATACGCGTGCTGAAAATGTGGAACTTTACAAGAAATAATACGGTTTGTTCAATTGAAATGATCATAATGGACGAGGAGGTTTGTTGTATTTCTTATATTATTTGTGTTCCATTCAATATTACATATGTTGCAACAAACACATTATTCTTATTTATTTTATTGAACAGGGAACACAATACCATTCTCGTGTCTTCAATCAGAATTTCTCAAGATTTGGTCATTTATTAAAGGAAAATGACACTTATATAATTATAAAACCCAATATGGCGGCTGTTCTTAATGGTTTTAGTTATACATGTCATAAGCAAACAATAACTTTGGATTGGAAAAGTATCCTTAAAAAATGTGATAGACTTTTCCGGACCAGTGAATGGATTTATGTTTATTGATTTTAATTCAATAATAGAACAAACATGCCCACGGGACACATTCTTTGGTTAGTTATTAAATTTTATTCCAATTTATTTTTTACTTGTGTTGTTTATTATACATTTTTTATTTTAATGTTTTAATATTAAATAATACTATAAGTTGTGTTATTCTTGTGTAGATGTTATTGGACAGATTGTCTCAGTTTGACCGCTTGAAACATCAAATCCTGTAGCATCCAAGCATTATATCAAACTCACATTAGCAACATAGAGTGAGTTTATATTATTTTTAATCATTTTTTATCTTTAATTAAATCACAGCTTAATACTATTAACTATTTTCATTGTTTATTTAGGTCTGTACATCTTAAGGTTACTATCTTTGGAACTCAAGCATACCAGCTGTCACAATACCTAAAAGAGAACCCGACGGTTAATTGTGTTGTTATAGTGATGCAGTTTGTTAAGCTTAACATTTGGGATGGTTTGTATTCACATATTATATATATATATATATATATATATATATATATATATATATATATATATATATATATATATATATATATGCTTTTCTATAATAGTTATTGATTTGCTATTTTAATATTACAGGAGTCGGTCAAGCTAAAAGTCATTTTGAAATAACCAAAATGTTCATAAATTCTGACATTGTTGAAATTAATGAGTACAAGAAAAGGTTATTTTATTTATTTATGTTATTTGTTTAATTTAGACTAACACAAATCCTATGATTTATGAAATCATTTTAAACATTATAGATTGAAATCTGATGACAATCTTGGTAAATCTGAAAAAAGCATTACTTCACTCCAAAGCTACTCTTCTTCATATATAGATGACTTTAAAGGCACTTTCCCATTAAAAACAATTTGTGAAATCACAGAACCACTGAAGGTAGAATGCATTGTTTGATATCCTTTTACTTTTTTTACATTATGTATTTTCCTAACTTTAGATGCTATTAAATACAGGAAATGAAATTTTTGTTAGTTGCTTCAATCGTTAATATAAGACAGAATCTACACTGGTATTACGAAGCATGCTACAAATGTGGAAAAAAAACAACTTCAGTTCCAAAACACAATCATTCGTATACCGACCCTCATAAAATTATAGAAACTGTTGTTGTTCAGTGTAAAGATCCAAGTTGCAATAATTCGGATTTTCGTACAGTTATCAAGTAAACACTTTTATATTTATATTAATTCTTTCAAACATTATAGATAATTTATATTTATCTAATTTTTTTTAAGGTATATAATTCCAATCAACGTACAAGATGGTACTGGCACCATCGGATTGACTCTTTTTGATAGAGAAGCAAAGAGGCTGTTAGATATCAGTGCATATGAGTTGAAAAAGATACATGAAGCGGTATATTGTGTTGTCATATATTATTATCATTAGACATTTAATTTGATATCCTTTTACTTTTTTTACATTATGTATTTTCCTAACTTTAGATGCTATTAAATACAGGAAATGAAATTTTTGTTAGTTGCTTCAATTGTTAATATAAGACAGAATCTACACTGGTATTACGAAGCATGCTACAAATGTGGAAAAAAAATAACTTCAGTTCCAAAACACAATCATTCGTATACCGACCCTCATAAATTATAGAAACTGTTGTTGTTCAGTGTAAAGATCCAAGTTGCAATAATTCGGATTTTCGTACAGTTATCAAGTAAACACTTTTATATTTATATTAATTCTTTCAAACATTATAGATAATTTATATTTATCTAATTTTTTTTTTTAAGGTATATAATTCCAATCAACGTACAAGATGGTACTGGCACCATCGGATTGACTCTTTTTGATAGAGAAGCAAAGAGGCTGTTAGATATCAGTGCATATGAGTTGAAAAAGATACATGAAGCGGTATATTGTGTTGTCATATATTATTATCATTAGACATTTAATTTGATATCCTTTTACTTTTTTTACATTATGTATTTTCCTAACTTTAGATGCTATTAAATACAAGAAATGAAATTTTTGTTAGTTGCTTCAATCGTTAATATAAGACAGAATCTACACTGGTATTACGAAGCATGCTACAAATGTGGAAAAAAAAATAACTTCAGTTCCAAAACACAATCATTCGTATACCGACCCTCATAAAATTATAGAAACTGTTGTTGTTCAGTGTAAAGATCCAAGTTGCAATAATTTGGATTTTCGTACAGTTATCAAGTAAACACTTTTATATTTATATTAATTCTTTCAAACATTATAGCTAATTTATATTTATCTATTTTTTTAAGGTATATAATTCCAATCAACGTACAAGATGGTACTGGCACCATCGGATTGACTCTTTTTGATAGAGAAGCAAAGAGGCTGTTAGATATCAGTGCATATGAGTTGAAAAAGATACATGAAGCGGTATATTGTGTTGTCATATATTATTATCATTAGACATTTAATTTGTTAATATTTATTAAAAATCTTCTTACAGGCTGGAGACAGTCATGCACTATTTCCAATGCAACTTAACGTGTTGAAAAACCGCAAGTTTGCTTTTCTTGTAGATATTACAAAATACAATGTCAACAACTATAATAATATTTACACCATTCTCAAGCTTACAGAAGATGTATCCATTGTTTCAGAATTGGAAAGTAAATTAGAACTTATGGTACAAAACATTTTAGGGTTCAGCAATTATATTTGTTGACTATGTAAACACATAACGATTAACATATTTCCATTTACTTTTGTAGAGTATTGAATCTGTCTCCTTAAATCAAGTGCCTTTGGAATCAGATGATGTTGTACAGTCTGTTCAAAAGGTTTTTCAATTTATTTCCTTAAGTTTTATTTATATTTAATTGTTCCAATTAAATACTTATTTTTTTAAAATAAATTTAGGATGTCATCTCACAAACAGATGAAAGTTTTACACCATTAACAGTTAATAAATCAACCACAACAACACCGGGCAAAATATCAACTGATTTGAAGCGCAACCTCCAAGACATTTATGACGTTGATTCTGGAGATGATTTAAGTTCAACTAAGGCTAAAAGAAAATCAATCGGAGAGGAAACTCCACTCTTAATTCCAAAAGTCGAGAAGTGAGTTGGTTTTGGTTATAACACACATTTACTATATAAATAATGTTGCTTATGGTTTTAAACATATTTTGATTGGTTGGTATGCTTCTTATTTTTAGATATTTAGGATGTCAATTATGATTTGTTTTGGATATATTTGGGTATTTTATTGTTTTAAAGTGGACAAATTAGTTAATTTTTGTTTTAACAGACGTTTAATACATTTTGATGTTGCTTTGGTTTTAAAGATATTTTGAATGTTTTGTATGCTTTTTATTTTTAGAAATTAAGGATGTCAATTATTATTTGTTTTGGATATATTTGGATACTTTATTGTTTTAAAGTGGACAAGTTAGTTGGTTTTGATTTTAACACACGTTTTATATATTTTGTAATCGTTTTGTTTTGTGTATATGTGTTGTTGTATGTGTGTGGTTTGTATATTTTTTTATGTATGTATGTGTTGTATATTTACTTTTTTATTGATATTTTTTCAATTAAATTTTGTTTTTGTCAATACATTTGGTATAAGGCTTATTTAATTTTTAAAGTGTATATCTTTTAAGTTTAATTTAAAATATAACATTAGTAATTCCATTATGTTTATTAACCATTGTTATTTACTTTAAAATTATGAATATGGACACTTTCTGTTATTTACTTTAAAATTATGAATATGGACACTTTCTGTTAATTCTTACAAAACAGGCACAATTTCAATAAAACTTTAAAAACATGATAATTTCTATTAACTTTGAAAAAACAGGGACCTTTTATGTAAATTTTTAAAAATATGGAGATTTTTTGTAAAGTTACTAACAGAGAGACCTTTTATGTAAAGTTAGTAACACATGGACCTTTCAAACAAGAACTATTCTTGCAAATTAAAATTTTTTTGAAAACTTCCCATAATACCCTTTTTTATAACTAACAATGACTTAATATCACAATATAACCGTAATATAGCAATACACTTTTCTTTTACCAGTTTATACAATATATTTATTAAGACTTTTTATCCTTTCTATCCTAAAATAGCAATATACTTTCTAAGTATATTGCTATAAATGTCAATAATGTAAACTGATTTGTGCAAAATGTTATAAATTCATTGATTTGTGCATATGGTATAAGGCTTATTTAATTTTTAAAGTGTATATCTTTTAAATTTAATTTAAAATATAACATTAGTAATTCCATTATGTTTATTAACCATTCATTATGTATTAGTTTTGCTATTTTAATTTGTTATAACATTTAATGTTGTATAAAATAAACTTTTTCCAAAGTTATGATTAATTATTATGATTTTTAGTCTTTATTTTTATTTTGTAGCCTAAATTTCGGTAATCCTTTATTAAATTCAAATCATATGTTAATATGTAATTAATTTGTGATCTATTATATCCCATAAAATCAGGAACATATACTTATCCACTAAAATTCAACAACAATAAATTCATAAATCTGGTAATATATTATAAAGATATTATTATGTAAATAAGGTTATATCTCTAAATATACCTCATAACGTGAAAGCAATCATTTTGAAAATCCTCATTCGTCTTCTTTGTCTTTGAATTGGATATGCAATTGTTATTTCCTCAAAGTTACAGCAATCTGCTTCATAGAAGTTTTATTCCTCATTTCAGTTCAGACGTTAACTGCTTTTCATTTTAAAGCCCTCTTACTTCCTGCAACATTTCAATATTCATATACCAGGTTAGTCTTTTGAGTTATAATAACATTGGTTTCTGTATGGATTTATTTATGAACATTGAAAGTCAATTGATTTATTGTATTCCATTTCCATATCATTTGCAACTAAGTGTTGGAACGGAATTTAATTCCAATTTCAACCAAACTATAAGTTGCACGTCAATTAGAAGCCATCTAATCTAATAAAATATTATTTACCTGGTACAGTTTCATCAAGTTGTTAAAGCTCTAATCGTGTAACACCGTAAATTTCAATACAAATTTTTCATAATTCCATCAATATTCATCAAACAACCATATTAATTATCCAAAATAGGTCAATACAAAATCCCAAGATCACAATGTAGAAACTCGGAGTGTTTGTGTGTACGGATCAAGCCGGCGCCTTCCCGCGGTCGTCACTAGTACCTGAAACAATAACATCAAACACTGTAAGCACAAGGCTTAATGAGTTCCCCAAAATACCACATATAACACATATTAGCCACTCGAGGCTATAACTCTGTGGGTCCGTGCACCCAAACTCTGTGAACCCTCAGGTTCTAGCTCTGATAAACATGCACTACATAAATCACATAGAAATAATGCAGTACAACACATAACATGCATAGCATACAATACTCTATCACATAACTCAGGTTACCTACTCAAGGTAATATAGTATAGTGAGAAGACTCACCTCGCATATCTCGGTATCTCACGAATTTTGGAAATCCCTCGTGCTCGATCCTCCGAGCTCTAATCCTCCTATAACATTATATGCTTCTAATTAACACTTTGTATCTCTATGGTTGACTATTTATAAGGAGTCAACACAGGTCAACTCTGGTCAACGGTCAACGGTCAACTATGACCGGACTCGGCGAGTACCAAGGCGACTCGGCGAGTCTAGACGTTTTTATCAACCCTCTGAACCCTCTTACTACACGTCGAGTATCCCCCCTTTACTCGACGAGTTTCACCTGAATGAATCGCGGGGCCACCCCGACTCAACTCGCCGAGTCTCAAGAACAACTCGGCGAGTCCAGGTTGACTCAGTCCACCCGTCTCCCTCCTCCAACTCACCCTGACTCACTGAGTCTACCCATGACTCGATTGGACCACTCGCTGAACAGTCCCAAGGCAATCTTCAAGCTACTCGCCGAGTCGGATGAACAGACTTGGCGAATCCATGCCATGCAACCACTCCAACTCGCTTCTAAGGTCAGATCTGCTTCCAAAAACTATAGATCTGGCCTCCCTTGACTGATTCATCACGTAAAGCTCCTATCTTGGTGCTCATAACACCCCTATAGCTCCATAATGGAGTTTTTGACCTAAGGCATGAGGATTCCAATCCAAAGCCTCCATTGATCCCCAAAGAGCTTGGGTAAAGGGACACTCTGGACCTCTAATGGTCCAGATCTATGGTTCCAACCTCATAAGGGACCAAAAGAGAATCAACTCTTGTCATAAAAGGGTTCAACAAACCCTAAATCTAAATAAGCAATAACAACAAGAGAGTAACTCGGATTTATTACCACAAAAGTGATGCTCTGGACTCAAAACCCACATAAATGGCTCCTCCTTGCTTCCCTTTTGGCTAGCTCTTCTCTTCCTTGCAAAGATGGCACCTCCAAGGTCAATAATGGCCTCCTACTAAGCTCCAAGGGCTCACACACGATTAGGGTTTCACTCAAGAGGCTGGTGGGCACAAATGACGACCATTAGGCCCTATAAATAAGTCTCAAACCCGAGAAATTAGGGTTTCATTACACAGCGAAGACTCACCGAGTCCATATCCTGGACTCGCCGAGTCCAGGCGCGATCCTTCGTCCAAATCCGCGTCTCTACTCGGCGAGTCTGAGCTCCAACTCGCCGAGTCCCCCTCACAAATCAAAAAAATACAAATTACACGATACCTGATAAAAGTCCGGATGTTACAACTCTTCCCCACTAGAACTAGACTTCGCCCTCGAAGTCTCGCTCTAAAAACAGCTCCGGGTGCTGCTCCTGCATCATACGCTCTGGCTCCCAGGTCATCTCTGATCCCCTCCGATGTTGCCACTGAACCAACACCAGAGGTACCTCCTTGTTTCTCAGAACCTTGATCTTCCGATCCCTGATGGCCACTGGTCTCTCGACATAATTCAGGCTTGCATCTACCTGAATATCCTCTAGTGGAACCACTGCCGATTCATCTGCTATACACTTCCTCAACTGCGATACATGAAAGGTATTGTGAATCTGTCCCAACTCTGTTGGCAACTCCAACCGATAGGCTACCCGGCCTACCCTTGCAATCACACGAAATGGACCAATAAACCGGGGCCCCAACTTGCCCCTCTTCCTGAACCGGATCACCCCTTTCCAAGGAGAAACCTTCAGGAGAACGAAGTCGCCGACCTGAAATTCAAGCTCGGACTGGCGTCTGTCCGCGTAACTCTTCTGTCGGCTCTGGGCGGTCAATAACCTCTGTCTGACCTGCTGTATCTGCTCTGTCGTCTGAATCACGATCTCTGTACTGCCCATTACCCTCTGCCCAACCTCTCCCCAACAAATGGGAGTCCGACACCTCTTACCATACAACAGCTCAAAGGGCGGCATACCGATGCTCGAATGATGGCTGTTATTGTAGGAAAACTCTGCCAAGGGTAAATACGTGTCCCAACTACCCCCAAAATCCAATACACATGCTCGAAGCATGTCCTCAAGCGTCTGAATCGTCCGCTCACTCTGGCCGTCTGTCTGGGGGTGATATGCGGTACTAAAATGCAGCTTAGTGCCCAACTCCTCATGAAATTTCTTCCAGAATCGGGAAGTGAAATGCACATCGCGATCCGAAACAATCGAGATCGGCACCCCATGCCGAGATACAACTTCCCTCACATAAATCTCCGCCAATTTCTCCGCCGAAGAACTCTCACTGATGGCAAGAAAGTGAGCGCTCTTTGTCAACCTATCCACAATCACCCAAATTGCATCGACTCCTCTGGCAGTCCTCGGCAATTTGGTGATGAAATCCATAGTGATCTGTTCCCACTTCCACTCGGGAACCTCCAATGGCTGCAACTTGCCATGCGGTCTCTGGTGTTCGGCCTTTACTCTTCGACAGGTCAAACACCTCTCGACAAACCATGCGACGTCCCTCTTCATACAAGGCCACCAATACTCTTTCCTCAAATCCAAATACATCTTCGTAGCCCCGGGATGGATCGAAAATTTCGATCTATGAGCTTCCTCCATCAATGTAGTACGCGTACCGCCCACAAACGGTACCCAAATCCGGCCCTGATAAGTCATAAGCCCTCGACTATCCGATACAAA